AGCAGTACCAGGTTTTCAGTGGACCACTGATGTACCATATCTAGGTCACACTTAAGTAATTTCTGGTCGGCTTTCTCCTGAGTCTTGTGTCGTATATTGATGTCGTCAGCAAGCAATAGAAATTTTAAAGCGATCGTCTGTGCATGTCCATTGCTAAATACCAAAAGAATTGTGGGCCCAAAACTGAGCCTTGAGGCACACCACACACGACTTTGATGGATTAAATAAGGCGCCCTGGATCCTAACCACTAATTGTCATTGTAGAAGTAAGTTGTCGATCAAATTTAAGAGTGGGTCGGTGATAGCGTAATACTGGAGTTTGGAAAGGAGGTTTAGATAAACTAAACAATCGAATGTTTTCAAAAAATCCTAGTAGATAACATCAATTGCCTCTCCAGTGTCAACCCCCAGGGTCTCACTGCTCCGCGCGATTAGTAAATTCGTTGTGCACGATCATTTTCAATGGAAACCGTGTTGCTCGAAAGCAATCATTTTGCACTTTTGCAGGTAACACACGGATGCTTTGGGAATGATGGATTCAAGACCTTGGACAATACAGGAATAAGAGGTACTGAGTGGTATTTTGAGGACTCAGTCCTGCTTCCAAATTTACGAATCGGAGTTATGTCCGTTGAACTTTCAATGGCAGGAACATGGTTCTGCTCTAAGCGGCGCTAAAGTAACTTGGCCGAAGATTTTGCCAGTTGCCTTTCTGTTGCCCCAGTGCATCGACACTAGGGGAGCTGTGATTGCGCATGCACAATATTGCAAGCGAGCTTCCTAGCTAAAATAGATGTGACCAATTTCCGGCAGCGTGACAACAAATACTGGAAGAAGGATAGATAGTATGATACTATGAAATGTGGGGCATTTTGTGTCCGCAACGCGTTTACTGCTCCTAAAGCAGTTCGTATTGGAATATAAACCGTCCGCTTGCAGGTATTTCCTGCCTCACATAACAAGCATCATTAGCTTGTTGGCACAGAAGTTTGTGGTTAACGCCAAACGTTTTGCCATGTTCTGCTAAAATGTGGCTTTGTCTTCGCTGAGAATTTGGGTGCAGTAAGTACGTCAAGCAGTGCACTTTTTCCAAATATCCGCGTTGCGTACTGCCGTCTATTTACGCGTTCTGTTCCTTACGAAATAAACGGTTTTAAGCTCATTGCAAACTAGTGTCTCTGAGACATTATTGACCAGTTAATAAGTTTACTGAAAGATTCGAATCAAGCAAATCCCCGGCTGCCTATGGCAGGGAACAGCCAGTCTGTAGCTCTAATAAGATTGGCTAAGCGGTCGTAAAGTGTAAGGGTACACCTAATCATGTGGGTCCTCATTAGGCTGCTCCACATAACAGAAAGCAGAAAACGATGACTGCATGATCAATGTGGAACAACCAGCGGTCTACAACCGATACACCAACTCAATGCTCAACGTTGCTAAACACAATCTCTAGCACAGGTGGTCTGTTGACTTTGTTGAATGAAGTACATAAAATAACGCGACTGTAAAGCACAGTGTCTGCACCGATTTCTTGCAGATCATCTTCGATTTGTTTCCCTATCTTGGCAGGGGTTTCTAAACAGTGTACAAAGATTTCACCCATGAAAATGATATGCTTGTATGAGTCGTTTATACTATATTTTATAGCGTTCGTTAGATTATAGTCGATTACGAGTGTCGAGTTTGGGAGCTATGCATCAGATCAATAAGGAGGACGTATCTGTATTTTGATTACAGGCGCGGCTAAAATGAATCAGGAAAATGTGTGCCTGAATCTCCCACCGATACGAGCTGCAGGTCACATCGGTAATGCACACTTAGCCCTGATCCGTTTTGAGCTTGTCGTTTTGGATACGTGATATGTCTTACAGCGGAAATTTAGTGTACGGCATTCCAACATATAATCCGTTCTCAGGCATACCAGTTAGAACCAATGGCTTAGTTATTTAGCGATCTCTTTGTTCGACCCGCCCATTGAGACAACCTTGAAGAATGTTATAAATGCAGCACTGCAACAAAAAAATCGCTAAATAAGGAAGAAAATCACCTTAACCTTGTGTTTAAAAACAAAGGTTATCCGGGCAATTTCATCAGAGGTAGCTTAAAAGAACGAATGTCTCAGCACCAGCAGCAGCAGTCACCTGAGCAAGCAAACAGAAAACGGTGTTCGCCTACATCGAGAACATCCCCGAACTAACAGTAAGATAGTTGAAGTCCCATGGAATCTCTGGAGCTCACAAAGGAAGTGCCACCCTAAGGTAATTGCTCTCAAAACCTAAAGAGAAAGTCAATTAAGCCAACCAATTCAATGTCATCTACCAGATAAAATGCAGGGACTGTGATAAAAGCTACGTCGGACAAACTGGAAGAAAGCTTTTTACACGAATCACCGAACACAAGGCTGCTGTCAAAAAACGTGATCCGCACTCATTGGTTTCTGCGCATGAATATCAAGAAAGGCACCATTTTCATCTGAATAATGTGAAGATCCCAACAATGAAAGTACAAAACACGAGAGGGCGTTTTTGGAAGCCTTGCACTTTAGAACAAATTCAATCAATCGACAAATCGAACTGGACGCAATATACGCAAAATTACTGGCTAACGACAGCCAACTCGATCGATTGAATCCGGTGGAACGAGTGACTAGGCAACCAATAGACCAAGCGAACAAAGGCTACGAAACACAAAGAGTCAAGGTAAAAGGGTAACTGCCCATCAATCCAACTGAACGCGGCTCGTAGCCTTAACCAATATGATTGCTCGTCTCCGCGGGCAACCACGGCGGTATACAGACGCACGCATATCACGCTCAGTGCATTCCAATCAAGGCTCCTCTAAGCTACTCTACACTATAGCACGCAACTCAACTACGCACTAATCATGTCAACTGGATTGGTGACGAAACGTATGCAACAATATTACCAAGTTTAGCAAAAACTTTAACTGCCAAACGCAGCACAGTTTCTCAGTATTTAACACCCAACTTGTAGCTAAAGAAATCAGTTTCAGGAAATGTGTTCTCGGTCGTTATTGGTTTCTTTTAATGGGATAATGACACTTTGTCCGCAAATTAAGTAGTCCAAGTTATGGCGCATAATTTGTCGGGGCCCACTACCGAACCGCGTATACGAGAATCCAAGTAAAACTGTTTTGTAATCCCAGGTGTTCATATTTGATCTTTGTAAGGCTTCTGCAGCTTTTAACTGTGCTTTTGAAGGAAGACCTTTCCGATTTTCCTGCCCGTTTTAAAACTTCCGTTTCTGTTTTCTCGGACTAAACCAATGTTTAACATGTGTTCTAAATTTTGCTTTCCGATCTCATGATTAGTGCGGGAAGGAAAATGTGGGACGCCATGGATAAAGAATGTGTGCTGCGTATTTCCGATATGTTTCTTTTCGACCGTTGCGCGCTTTACGGGAAGTCGTAATTGATGCCTAACTCATAGCATCCATGCTGTAAGGCACTTGCAGACAATACAAAGTCTCCTACCTCAGTAGCGGATTCCAATGTTTTCATAAGAAAACGGGTTCACCATATTGCGCAGAGTTCGGTAGATTAGCTACCCGTACAGAGCTTGCGAGTTTGGCTTTCAAGTTTATCAAAATGCACAAACAGTTCACTGGCCTTAGTTGTTAAGCAACCTACCCCGCAATGTTTTGATGATCGACGCAGGGACAATTTAGCCTAAAACAGTTAGGGAGTTATTGTAGGATCCTTTGTTATTGAGCTGCAAGTCCGGATGATCATTGGTCCTGGCTCTAGGCCAAGTATTGTCGGTCTACGATTTGTCTCTCTGCTAGCCCGAGAACGTATTTTGACAACCTAGGTGAACATTGCAGCGATCACTGCATATGTGGCTAAGGTCCCAGAGTATGTGAACTCGACCAGCAACACTTAAATTGTGGATACAAGGACTCCTGTCCGGGTAACCCATCCTCGCTTAGGACACAACTTGTTAGAACCATTGGTACCTGATAGATAACATGTTTTGGGTGGCGGCTGATCTTCGTTATCATGAGTATTACTTGTGTGTCAGAACTTGGGTCTATTTCTACCTGACCTCCTGTCATTATTGGAAGGACATACCGGTGATGGAAACCATGCTTCTCTTGGTTCGCGCAAGGCAAAATGCGCACAATTGTTTTTCTTAGAGGCCACTACGCTCTCCTGAAGCATATTGCTTTCCAATAAATTAATCTGAGCATACATTCGTCGTTTAACTTCCGCTACTAATCAGTCGCAAATCTGGAAAAGGATTGGCATATACATAACGATAAGGATAGTCCGGCATGCAATACAAAATCGTACGCCACCTTGGGAGTTGTTTTGAGTTCATACTTCTAAATGAGATAGGTTTGCACACTTCTGATTCTGCTACTTGAAACAGCCTGAGCAGGGAAACCCTAGGTTGAATAATCGATTGAATTCTCCTGACCCGAATCCACACTTTGGATGAAGCCATTTTAATTTCGCATCTACTTGCTACCGGCTACTTATAATGTGGTCAAATGCCTCAGTGGGAAGGATAATGTCGTGTGTATTAAATTTTGGTATGTTGAGCATGCCAGTGGAATATTTATATATATGCGATGAAATATGTTGACAATTAAACCTTCATTCGACTGGACACAATATGAAAAGAGCCACACATATGGAACTAAGGGTACAGTCTACACGGATTTTGCTGAAAAAATTATTTTTAACAAATAAACAATTTCTGTTCACCTTGAAGTAGTACATAAACATTGACTTTCAATGTAATGCTTGATTACCCATAATAACGTGCAGCACTTAGGACTAGAAGCTGCAAGTTAGTGAGATCGTAACCAATTCCTGTGTTTCGCTTTTCCAAGTCCACTTTCGTTAGCGTGCTGGTATCCACTTCATCTGACTCCAACTGCAAAATAAATTCTCCTTTCAAATACCCTCGGTCTGGGCCGGTTACAACGCAAGTGAAGTTCTTGTAGCTCGGTAATTTCACAGTATTTGCCATCCTTTCATACTAGCAACAAAGTAGATCAAATGACAATAATGTCATATATTATTCATTAGCACGGTAAATTCATAAAATGTAAACTTGCTACGTTTAACTGCTTCTAGGGTACGAATAGAAATTTATACTAAGTTGCCAGTTTTGTCACATTTGCGTGATCCTTTGTCTACGAATCAAGCTAGCTCTCACAGTGGATACTCGTGGGCCACTAAGAGATCTTGTGCCTGCGTTAAAATCAAGGGCACACGAAGCCGTATATGCCGAGACAGCCCGACGAATATCACCGCAATGATCAACCGTCAATCAACCTACCCTCGCATGTCAATGATTTAATGACAAATGCAGTAACTTTATAAATTAGACCAGTGGGTACGCATACTGTCCACTGGGTCCATAAAGTGTCAAAGATAAACCAGTGTGTTCTGCGAATGTAGATTTGTTTGCTGAACAATTGCTCAGTGCTTGCGACTTTTTCGGTTACGCTGTAGAAATGAAGCCAAGTCTATGTAGGATAGAAAACGTGCACACATATGGTGACTTTAGTTAGTTTGCGCATAGAGTATGTAGTATTTGCGAGTTAAATGTGTAAAATCGTGTGAGCTTTTATAGTGGCTCGAGTACTCCATTTGGCCGCCGTCGTCTTCCAATCATCGCGAGTCACCACAATGAGTACCGCAACGAAATATGTGTACGAATGAACTCAGAACGGTTGCTTACTTTCAAGCAGGCCGTCTCTGCAATATCCAGCACCTCAGTCGCGCTGCCATATATGCTGCGCCATTCTCCCGTTAAATCACCTCCGACGATTCCCATGGCAATTCGAATGGCTAAATTAGTTTGACAATATCGGCAATTTGAAAGTTACAAGTTTCAATAAATTTCACCCAAAACGGTACATGTTACCTTTATGGTGCAATGAAAACACTTGATTGGCAGTGGTAAATGTGCAATTGCGTGTGTGGGCTATTGTGTTTTACTCGGTAACCATCCATGGTGGTGTACCATGCTTAAAACGTTTGTGAAAATTGTTGTGTTTGGCCAAAATGTTTTAGAGTCAATGGGGAATTAACACTAGCAATACGGGCGATCACGCGACATGCCGTCGCAAGAGAATTCAAGTGCAATGAACTGCTCAATCTGGTGAACGACGTTGGATGTGGTGCTTAATATTTTCGCGTCAGTTCCGACGGACTAACATCTGTCCGGTTGCGACTGTAGTGGTACTCAATTAGTTTAGAAGCGAGATTTACTGGGGAGAAGTGGTCTAGCTGTCACGGATTGCTCCGAATCATGTATTGTAGAGCAACTTACTTGCGTACCAGTCACCGAAGACAGCCTCTGCAAAACAGTAAGAGTTATCATCTAGGTTGCCAAAGGAAGTCAAACGCAAAAGGCACATGTAATTATAACTTCTTATTAGGCTCATGTACGTCATGATAAACGTTTTATTCAATCTACTCTCATTAGGTGGCAGATAACAGCGGAATACATGGTAGATTGATAAATTGTATGACTACAGACTGCAACACAATAGTTTAACTAAGATAGCTAGGGTGACAGCAGACACGTGACTGTCCAAATTTTGCTGCAACAATGGGGACAAATTTACCGAAATGTCGTCGCAGATTTAAGCCCGGGATGTAGGTATCGTATCTCCGTTTTTCATATACAGAGTACAAATCCCTTACAAAATTGTTCATTTCAGCAGATCCGTTATTCTCTATGTTGACAATGACGTGATTCTGCTTGGGATGGGCAATTAAGGAACAGAAGATACATCCGACCGTATCGTATGGCACTCCTGTCTTGGATGTAACTGAGGCCCGAAGCTGAAATCTCGTGGTAAATAATGCTTTTTAATGGGCAGTTTAATTGAAGCGATGAGCCAGAACACATGATATCACGCATAGACCAAACTTCCAGACATGAGGTCAGTATATATATCACAATGATAAATTCGCCTTAGTGATTCGGATAAGGTATCATCATGGTAGATCGTTTTTGAGTTGATGTGTTTAATTTTCGCCCCTAGACAAAAAGTCCAAATGTTATACTGTTTACCTTGATGCAGACATCTTCAACATGTCTCGATGATTCATTGTTTTCCAATTCCGTTTTACTTGTAAATGGTACCGGATTGCCATCCTTCAGTAGTATTCCTGTTATCTTTAAAACTGTTAGGACAAGCGGAAATGAAGTACTTATTGAAAAATGGACTACTTCATTAGGAACTCTTACAGACAAGTTTTGGTTATTTAGGCCAGCAACCGGTAGTTCCGCTTTTACTTTAGTATGTTGGTTGCCTTTTTCATGAAATTTTGAAGTAAATAACAACTTAGACACAACGGACGCAATGGAGGATTTACAATCAGCATTGGGTTTGTAGGGGTCAATCAAAGACATCCACTTTACTGAGGTCAACTCACCATGTTGGAGCACCAGTTGGCATGGCGCGAACGTAATTGCTGTTGAAAGAAAACGGTAGCGTCGATGAAGAGTATGTTACGAAATCGATTGATACAAGTGGTTTCTGAACTATATGAAGTCAGAATACTTAAGTAACTTGCCTAGACTATTGTATCGGTTTCGCTAACACGGGGCATTTTGATTATTATGCACTCAAATCTGCAGGAATTTCGACTATCCTAGCAACTGTTTCGACAGTCAGCATTTCAACGATTTACCTGATACTCATCTAAGCGTTGTGTACCCAAGCTGTCAGAGACAAATCCTCACTGAATTGGGCAACTGATTCTAGCAGTACCTTTGTACTCGATAGGAAAACCAACTTGTCGATGGGTTCATTTAGCTTGGGTTTAGCATTTATATGTCCTCCGCATTAATTGCATACGCAGCACATTTAGTGAAGGGCACATGGCCTAATCGGATGAACCCGTTTATTTAAAGTTTTAAACTAATTCATCAACGTCACTCCCAATGAGTTTTATTCAACAACACACTTATGCATCTGCCTACTACTAATAATTACATTAAGTTTTTCCCAAGAGTCCCCGAAGGGCACTGAAATGATTAGCTAGTTCTGATTAAGACTAGCAGTTTGGTACCTATAGGACGGGATTACATAATACACACGGACAAAACATTTTTGTGCGGGAATACTACCACTGAATAATTAGCAACGGAAAATAAACTATAAGGTCATTTCGAGACCTACCAAGTAGCAATAAGCATTTTGACGTGAACATCACAGAGAAAAAGCGATTTAGTATTGTGATGAACATCTAATTTATATACCCGAAAAATTGCTGTTTGCAGACAGTGGACATATCTAGTTGAAGGATATGTGTGTCGCATACACGAAAATTAGTCTGACATCCATGCACCGATTGGGTAACCGACAAGCACTATTTGGTACACCCGCATGTGGAAAGCCAATGGGATTGACGGCGGAGGAACTGTGAAGTTTAGTGCTGCTTAACGGGACATAAGGCAGTCCTTATTCACCACGTTGGTCTAAGTGAGATGTAGGATGAGTGTCTGTACGTAACAGCCACACACTCACCTGTCATATGCTAGCATTTGCGGGAGCTTTGTGGGCTGTGTTTAGGCGTCGGCTGCGCGAAACACCACACTTCACGTTAAGGAACTGATAATTATTTCTTATACCATATTTCGCGACCAGCTGTCTACCGATGATCACTGTCCCTGCGCCAACAAATGTTCACCTAAAAGAAGAAATCCGAGTACAACTGGTGTATGTGAATTTTATGGGAGAAAATATCAATAGTAGTATTATGCATACACTATTATATCTGACGAGTATCCTGCGTTGCCTTCCACGATGAACATTGCGTCAAAGCACTGCTCTATGAAAATTTACCAGGGAAACAAAACATAGAGTTTGAAGCGTCGCTCTGGAGCCCTAGAACTGGTACCTGCGCCATCTGCTCTACTTTAATCTGAATCTGCTTGCCAAACCCTGTTAAGCCTAAGTTTCGTTACAGTCCATAGTTTAAACACCAACAAACCTGCGCATCCCAACTCAACGATCTACAAAACTTGCCCCTTTTACCACAACTTCCTGTCGTCCGATCCTTCCCACATTCGCACACAATATTTTATCAACAAGTGCCTCATTAAAAATCACCAGAGATCCTAATGCATCGTAACAGATGTGTGCTGTAAAACGAACTCGTTTTCTACATGTGTTTACGTGACCTAGTATAAGCACCTGTGTGCCCCATGCTGAGGCTGATTTTGCATTCTTGATGCTTCTTCAATGCTGTTGGGCTAAACCAACTTACACTTAAACTAGGTCTCTTTAAGCTGCATAAATTTCATTCCAATTTATTTGGTTTGTTCTGTGTATCAGAATAATCTTCTATTAACTGGCCACGTTGCTGACACTAATTGCGCTTATCTTCGGTAACTTTGTTGCGTTCGTAGCATTTTTAACTAACTTGTGGACATTTTTTCCTTATCGTGGATTCGTTGCTAACCAACTTATTTCATATGCTGATTTAGCGAGGAGTTATGCCACCGTATCTGTATGCATTAGTGGATTTGTTTTATTTCATGTTGTCGTTTCAGGTGATTGGCTGTTGTTTGATATCCCCGGTGTGGCTGCGCTTGATGTGCATGTTGACAAGGTGCCTACCTGTCTTTTACCCACTACCTCGTTCATACTGGCTCCAGGAGACAGTTGGTCTTTGCTGGAGGGGATGGGGTGCACGGGCCTTGTGGTAGTGCTAGGCTCAAAGAGCGGTTCCATGTAGTCAGTGTGGAGCAAGCTACGGTCCAGCCACTGCCTTCTGTGCACTTGATCTCCCACACAGCGGGCTTGTGTTTGCCTGTGAAGGAGTGTGGGCCGGCTCCGTTGATGAAATGCGGCTCCCAACGATATGACTCCAGGTCTTATTCCTTCGGGTTTACACTGGATATGGGGTGTGTGTTTGGAGTTGTGGGTGGTGCAGCGCAAGCCCCCATGGTCCCTCTGTAGGCGCAGGCGTCCTGTGGCTTGCCACAGTGACAGGCAAATCCGAAACCGGATGCCGCCAACCATAAGCACCTGCGTAATGCAGCGCGCGGGGCATGAGTTTCTTGAACTGTTTGTATGTTTCAGCTTCAGTGGTTTGCATACTTAGCGCATGCCTTCTTAAGACACGGTTGGTTTCTTACTGAGCAACATGGTTGATGCATTTGTTGATTATATTTTAATGTCCAATCGAGTAACACCATTGTTCATTTTTGGCTTTGCTTTGGAATGTTCTTGACGTTCTAAAAGTTGCTCAATTCCCAGGAATACATCCACTGGAAAGGGAAATTTTACCTTTGAGCAATTAAATAACACAACAAGGTGTAAAATAGTTAGTTCAAACTAGCCTGGCCGGTCCTGTTTCCGTACTACTGCCACGAAGTGTAAAACAATCTAATGCGACGATTATTACTCAAGTGGACCGTTAATTGTGTTGGTGTATCGTCTGGACACTGCACTGATCTGTTAGAATAATTAACATTTTCTTGAGTTGACGAGGAGAGTGCATCCAGATGTACCATGCAGTAATAAGCATTATGAACGATGAATTTCAATGTATATATTTAGGGGTGCTTTGAAAAAATAATCACCGGTAAATTTACCGGAGCGTGCATACAGGTATCTGGTACTTGATTCACACACATATGGTGGTTTTCGTGGCGAAGGCAAGCCCTGTGTTTTGGTTAGGGGAGGAAACACTTCAAATGCTCAGTGCAGTTAATCTAGTTGCATGTATTGATTCAATGCAGTTACATCCTTCAGTACTTTGGAAATTAGGATGGAAACGCGAGAGCCAGATGAGGCATATATTTCTAATCTCCACCCTATTACAATTAACTATAATCGATATGCAGCTTTGTAAGATGATCTGTGCGACAAACCAAGCTTGAGCAATCAATTTCAGCTGTGGACAACAAGTTTTCGTATTAGCAGAACCCGTTAAATGAGTAGCACATTCAGACATTCGATACTGAGCAAAGGGTATAGGCCGGGATGGCTTCAGAGCGCAACTGTCCAGACATCCTCCCCTAGTTAATTTTCGGTCTTGTCCCGGTGGCCGTATTCCTAAGAGTAACAAACGATTTCTCATTTCTAGGCACTATTTAATGTTCGAGGTTGTGTTGTGTCGTTCTATTTCATATTACATTCATTTTACAAATGCTGTCAAAATATACCGGATGAAGGCAATGCTGTGTGTATGCAACTAAAAGTTGATTAATCTTACACGGCCATGGACGTAAAAGTACATATTTTGCCAATAATTACTAATACTGATACTAATAGATTTTCGGTTTCAATGATCATATCCTTTACGGAATGATCGATTGTTACCATTGTTTAAAATGTTATCTCTAGGATAGTCTAAATCACATTATTAATAATGGCTCTTCAGCTAAATGCCACAGATGGATGATTCTGACCGAGAGTCCTCATTACTTACAAAACAGCGTTTTCATTAGAATGTAAGATGATGTGCAGACATGTGGCGACATGAAGAACATAAGAACTTAATTTCTAAAGCCGTGGAGATAACATTAACTTAGACAAAATAATTCCCTATATATGTAGCATTCAAAAATCGGGTAGTGCAAGACGGAGGTATTTGTCTTTCGATTAGCCGCTGCACATAAACATGGAGGCAATCAGCAGTTGCGATTGGCATCAATGTATTCGAGGCAGATGTGCTTGGACCTACGTAGCGTTTTCAGGCGATTGGGTTTAATAGTGCGCAAAGCATATGAGATAAAGAGAAACAACGAAAAAGAAACAGAGATAAAGATTTGAGAAGCAAAACCAGTTAGCTTCCATTCGCTATCCAATATTTCGACATGTAGTTTACAACCCTTCCTTGATCGCCCAAATTAACGAATGAAAATTATATATAAAGTTCGATAGAGTCAGTTTGCTTTTCTCTTCCGGTTCACACTTTGCAGTACATTGCATGTAAGCATTGCTCCGTAAGTAGAATATAAATAGAAGTGATAAAATAGCCGGACCAAATTACATTTTTAAGTCTTAAACAGCTCACACATACTAGTGGTGAATGCGATTTACATTTCATACATACCGATGTGCCTATGCGGCATGGTTTTCCAGGTAAAGTAGTTAACATGGTTGATAATGGAAGAGTGGGGGAGATCTTGGCACCTTCTCAAGTTCATTCCCATAAGCATGTATTTTCAAATGCGTAGCCAAGCAAACACGCTCTACGTTGATTATACTTGTACTTAGCAAATCAATGTCCCGGCCTACTTCTCGGATAGTATTGGTTATTGTAGGTTAATTGTAACTAACTTCTTGTACGCTGTTAACGTTCATAAAATGTTATTCCATAAGCAGTAGTTTTAAATTTCAGTGTTTGTCGCTTGTACAATTTTCTGCAGGTATTGTTTGTGCTTTTAAACACCAGTAGCGGGTACTTGATATTTCAGATTGCATATGTATTTACTTCTTTGATTTCGCTATTATTCTGATGTAAATAAACGTTTTGGACCAGATCAGATACCAAGCTCAAATCTATCTTTCTGCATATTAATTTTAGTGCTTCCATTTTTAATATCTAACAAGAAGCAAAGTAGTTTAAGTTTGACGGGTCATGACGAGAGCTTTGTGCCTAAGCACTACACCCTATCTCTGACGCACGATGTGTTTGGTAAAAGGTATAATTACAAAAATCACGTTTTGAAGTTACAAATGGCTTTAACACGCTACACACGGTATTACCTATCTCAGTAAAAGCATACAATCCATCACTCTGATGTCCATCCTAGGTCATACGTGCTTTCGGCTCTGTAAAGGATCTTGACCCTTAGCGGCAGCTCGAATTGCTGATGTGCAATACTAATCGAGTCTTTCAGCTGAAATATTGTGAAAATCTGTGTCTGAATAAACATGCGAATCGAAACGAAATTTGTCAATTTTTCTCTGTTTCAAGACTGTTTGGATCTAGTAAAGTGGTGCTGTACCAAGCGTCTGCATAACGCTTGATCGTACTTTACTCTGTTATTTCGGGTGACAGCTGATTTGACCCTCTATTTATTCGTCGTTTTGCTACGCTACAGGTTTTAGAATGCTGCTGTTTTCCATTGTATCATGTACGTTTCGTCATACTCCGGTGCGTATGCACCCTGGGGTCCATCGTCTGATAAGGCTTATGCTGCGTGCGGCGGAACTAGCTGTGTTTTGTCGGCGACAAACGATTCTGCTGGA